AGGTGTATAGAAAATGGATGGATGGATGTGTTTGATGTGCTCTTCCACCTGCTTTCAATGAGTGTTTTCCTTATGCAGGTACAGATTGCAGTTTAAAACCAGCTGCAAATTAGATATCAGTCCCTACTATGCTGCAAGTTCCAACACTTTTGTTACACAGAATTTATCCTGCAGCAAGTTAACTGGTCTTCATGTGTAAAGTCATGGGAGTGCATCTTAAAGTGTTTGCTGTGCAGATTGGACAGTTACCAACAAGAAAAATGAAGCACCATTTTAAAAAAAAGAATCAAATGGCACATAGCTTCAATTCTGTCATTAAGGACAGCTTGCATGACCATATTAGCAAATGCATTAAAACTACACTGAATTGATGATGCACACATTAAAAAAAAAACTCCTTGGGATGGACTATGCAATTAAAAGCATTCCTAAGCCAGTTTCATATAAGCTGAGTTAATAGCAGGTATTTAGACACACCATAGGCTCTATGGTGCAATAATTAGGCCATATTCATTATAAGTGTTCTGCCATTGATCTGTAGACAAACAGCGCATATGACTTAGAGCTGATCTTCAATCCAAAGCAGACCCAGTTTCCCCCCAGTTTTCCCTATGACTACCTGATGTTCAACCAGTGATGTTTTATTTTTCTTCCTTTCAAAGCAGAATCCTTGAGACTTAAATTAGGCCCTAAGGGTGCCGGCAGATCGATAGGCTCACTGCAGGTGCACGCCAACAGGAACAACAAGAGTAGGCATTTTGCCTCTCCTTTCATTGGAATAAAACATGCTTGATTGAGAGCGATGAGTGAAGAGAAATGTGTGAGTTTGTGTCCACCACCACCACCACCACCACCACCGGTTTCCAGCGTTGCATTTTGTTCCTGCAGCCTGTGTTCATTAGCTGACTGTGGTATTGACCATGTTGTACAGCAAAACGGAGATCAAGCTGGGTTACAACAGGGACGCTTGAATTCCCGAAAACAAACTGTTATTGATTTGTGTAAGTAAGTTGAATAAGCAGTATACAAGAGGCTGCTTTGAAGGCCCAATCCCATGTCAGAATCCAGCACCACCTCTGCTTCCATTTTACTGCATGCTGCTGTTAACACCGGCTGCCCTTATTGACTATTTGGAGTATTTATGCATAAGTGGAGCCACTTTAAGTGTAACAAGGGTGTACTAGGCTGTGTGTGAAACTGGAATTTATGGATAACACTGTGAGCACCTGCCATACTGGAACCTGCAGTATTTCCACAGGGCTAATACACAGGAGGATCTTTTTTTTTTTTTTTAACTGAAGTTACCTATTACATCAATAACAACACAACTCAGCTGCATAAGGAATGTTCAGAAATGCATTCCAGGAGGAAAGTCCACTTAAATAGCGTTTTTGATACATCATTAGATGCTCTGAATCTAGACTGGTGCATTTATTTGTGGGAATTATCTGCTTTGTAAAGCCGGGCTACCCACAGCTATTCAATGTCATAATTGGGCATTTAAAAGAAAATAATAAATTTGAACATACTGAATGATTAAAATGCTTCACAAACCTGCATCACGTTGCAAGGGCAGGACACCATCTAGGTGTAAAGAGTATTTCTTGTATTCAAAGAATAAAATGACACTGATTAATGAAAGCACACTCCCTGCAACTTCTGTATAGCTTAGCTGATATTCAAATGGGGGGAAAGAAATCAATGTTTTATGACTTATTTGTGAATATTTGCTTTCATATGTTTTTAAATGAAAATTATTTCACAGAAACAAGTTGACTTATCTTAACTTCTTTTCAGAGCTGCCTTTATGCTCTTGTGAATTTAGTAGAATAGAAGGCCATGGAAGTCTCGACTCACACGACACTGGGCTCACCTGACTGAATTAGTAAGAATCATGAAGGTCAAAATCAATTATGTCGAGAGCTGTCACGGTAATGTTAGTGCTCAAAATGACTTTAAACACTGGATCATTGAGAAGCAAAAGTGAGCACATCCCATCACAAATATTTGCTAGCTGCATTCTGCGTTCTGATTGTACTTGTTTCACACTAAGGAAACATATTGTTTCATCATTACACCTGCTGTGAGCTCATCAATAGGATTAATCAGTCAGATAAACAACTCTTATACTGTTGGAATGCAGCTGCAAATTTCATACACCGTTGTCACAAATAGCACAGACGTGTCTTACAGAAATACAGATCATGTGAATCAATAGATGGCACACAGCAGAAATGTCTACAGTACAGAAGTGAGTTCACCCCTGTGGAATATCACCTGCATTTAAACATTATTTCTAAGTAGAACAGTAGAGTGCACAGTGAATAGTGAAGCTTTGTGCTTTTAAACAATTTATAGTGTGTCAATGTTGTTTTGACTCAGAATGGCCCCATACCATTCAGAATACACTCACTCAGCCTGTAGAACAGACAGTGAGTGTTAAAAAGTTATGTTTAAAAGCAAATGTCAAACAGGGTTTGAATATGCTTTTGTATTTAAATGCTCAAGTCACATTCACAGGTGGTCAGGAATGCTTATGTAAACTTCAATTAGTCTTCAACAAGGACTGAGTTAGAATATGTGATGAATGAAAAACCTCTGCAAACACTGTTTGCAAATGGCAAACAATGCAAAGTTGCAAACATAGTTTGAATCAGGAAAAGTCAACACCATCTTCTTTACTGGTTGAAAATCTAATCATAGATGTGCTTCTTTTTTTTCTTCAAGAGGCAGTCACAGTTCCTGTAGTTTAAAACAGACAACACTGAAGGGAAATTACCTGTGTCTTAGGTGAGATAGTGAAAGATATATTTATAGAGGCAACAGCAGGTTTGTTGATTAAAGATTGACAACTTTTGCATCTGCCTCAAGCCTTTCTATAGTATATATGACATTTGTTTTAAATCAGTTTTTGGCTTTTGATTCCTTAAATGGCTCACTGTCTAGTAGACAGTATCTACCTGTGATCCCTCATCACAAGTTAGATATGGACATGAAATGTGGAAAGTCCAAATAGAGGCAGATGTTTTCATTTATAGTGACAGTATATTTCATAAGAAAAATGTAAAAATGTCCCAAAACATCAGGAAAAAAATGGCATCATTCTTTGTAACAGCAACATTTTTCATATGGCTTTAATCATCGTGTGAGTTATTTTGTAAATCCCTGGGGGTGTCCCGACTTCCACGTTTGTAATCATAGTATTTTGATATGCTGGCATTATGATTTTTCTTACCACACATTAATTCCTGTTTTCTGTCTGTTTCAGTTGAACTGCTTTTATCAGCTGCCTCACAGACTATCTTTATCTTTTGATCATAATGATAAAGAATATTTTTTACCTCATTTATCTGACAGAGACAGCATTGATCAACAGAAAAAGGGACTGCAAATGAGGCAGTTAGCCCAAAAGGATAATGTCTATTTTGACCAGTTGCTAAAAAGGCAGGCTAAAATTAGAATAAAGTGACATACCATATAAAATGGTGGTATGCACACAACGCAATTATTATGATACAGACAAGGCATTCAAACTAACGTCCTTGGAATAATAATGTACAGACTTAGCCACAAAGTGAAATAATTATAGATGATTAACAACAAGCTGCACAATTTTTCGTTTACAAATAGAACAAAGACAAGAAATTCTGT